AAAAAAAAAAAAAAAAAAAAAAAAAAAAAAAAAATGTTGTTTTTGATTAAATGGTATAAAAAGAAATTTTATATAATAATTTAAAAATGTATATTTATTAATCTATTTATTATTTTACTTCTTTAGTTGTGATATCATCTATTTTTAGATAAATTAAAAGCTGTGTTAAATATTTCATAATAATAGTAGAAATTTCATTATCACATTTGGAGCTGGTTACAACTTAATATAAATAAATTTATGTGTAAAAAAAACATGTTAATATATAAAAATAAAATATTATTAAAAATATGAATTTATATTAAATTAACTAAAGAATGAATACAAATTTTTATTTTCCGTTTTTTTCAGAAACCAGGAAAAAATAGTTTCCACAAATGATAAAATTGATGAGCTTTTAGAGATATAATCAAATTAAAATTTTCATTAAAAAGTTTTAATTGATCTAATATTCTGCTTATTAATTCTAAATAAAAGAAAAAAAAAAAAAAGAATTTCATTTTCATTCAAACGAATTGTTCTATTAATTTAAAAAAGAAGAAGATTGTTTAAATTAAATTATAACCGTATTTTTTTAGAAGACATATGATATAAAATTTTTCATATAAATTATTTATATTTTCATCATCATAAATATAAAGATTAGAAAATCTATATAAACTATTCATTTTTCTATTGCAACTTATAAAATATTTTTTATCTGATTTTTCTATCTCATAATCAGAAATGTTTTCTGATAATATATCAAATATTATTTCATCTATATTTTCATCTTAAAAAAAAAAAAAAAAAAAAAAATATATTATACTTATGTAAATTATATGTATATATTTTATGATTTATTTGATTTTTAATTAATATTTTTCAAATATTTTAAAGTATTTTAACCTTCATAATATTTTTTAGGCATTTTCTGCTTTTCATTTTCATTTAATTCTTTTAAGCTTCTAATTAATTTAAAAGAAACAATATAAGACAATAAGAAAAAGAACAATTTAATACTTTTAATTTTATGTTAGTAAAAATATATTTTCTATATTTATTTATTATTTTATTTTTTTGTTTTTCCATTACCTCATCAATGTTAAGGGTTCTATGTTATTTTTACTTTTTACAAATGAATCTAGCTAAAATAAATATATATAAATAAACAAAATAATATTTCTTTAGATTTTCATAATTTCAAGTAATTCTTTTGAATTATATTTAAAAATACATAATTATAATAATTTTCTATTTATTAGGCGTATTTAAGAAAAATTATTTTACTTATTCAATAATTCTTTTATTTATTTTAATTTTTTTTTTTTTTTTTTTTTTATATTTTTGTTTGTATATTAATATATTTTTATATTGATATTTATTTTTTTTTTAAATATATTTAGTTAAGCATATATTAATTAATTTATTTATTTATTATTTTTTTTAATCTATCTATTTATCAATCTATGAATTTATTTTATTTTGTTTTATTTTTTTTTAACTTATAACATTTTAATTTTATTTATTTAATAAATTTTTTTTTTAGGCTTTTTTATTATAAATATTATTTATATTATTCTTTATAGTTATTACAGTTTTTATGTCAGTATAATCTTCATAATTTCTAACATCATTTATCGTTATAATGCTACTACTTTTTTCTAGTTCATTAAATAAAGTTATATCATTTAGACTCAATTTTTTATTTTTGTTTTTATTTTCTTTTTCTTCTCTTTCTTTTTCCTTTATCAATGCTTTATTCTAATAAAAAAGAATATTAATTTAAATATAATTTTTATATTTTGTTTTTCTAACCAAAAATTCAACACAATATTAAAAATACTATATATGAGAAAAAAAAAAATATATATATATAATTGTGAGTTACATATTCTTCTTGTTCAATTAATTCATATGTACAAATAAGTTTTCTTTTCTCATCTATTATATCATGAACATTACTTTCTCTATAAGTTAATAATATTAATATATAAATTATATTTACATAAATAAAAGAATAAATAAAAATATTTACATATATGAAAAAAATAAAAGCAAATATATATTTATATATTTAAAAAAAAAAAAAATAAAATAATGAAAATATGCTAAAAAAACAATTTATATAAAAATGAAAGATTTGCAACTCACCGGACTTTCTGAGTTATCGTAGATCTAGCGAAGGACGGAATTTTTAATTTGTTATCTTCTTCTTTTATACAATTATGTTCTTTTTGATTTTTTTTTTGATTAAAATATTCGTATAATTGAATAAACAAACTAATTATCTCGTCTGAAAATATAAAAAAACATAAAATGTATATTTTTTTCTCTTTTTTATAAAATAACACATCTTTTTACTTTTGTCTGAATTAATTATAGATGTTTCATCAAACGAAATATTTAAACTTGTTAAAGTTCTTTTTATGATCAACCAATTTTTTTTTTTTATCTCTTTGCTATAACCATTTTCTAAACTATTCATATTAATACTCTTTTCAAAAAAAAAAAAAAAAAAAAGTGTATTTCATAAAATTTTATAAAAGAAGATAAAAATTAAAAAAAAAAAAGCTAAATAAAGAAAAATAATTTAATTTAAAAAATAAAATACTTGCGGTATATATATGTTTATTATTTCTGAAATGATAATTCCATTGCTAGCACTTTTTATGTTTTTAAAAGAATGAGATAAATTTAAGTATTGCAACCATTTAATAACTTCTCGTGGTACTACAAATAATTAACAGCTTGTTTATATTTATTATTTACAAAAAAAAAAAAAAAAAAAAAAAGATAAATAAAATGTATTAATATATGAACAAGATATAAAAAAATTACATTCCATTTTTTTGTTTATTATTTATATATCTATAATATGATTTCAAATAAAAAGTTCTTATAGAATCTGTAGCGACTTAAAATTTCTCATAAATTAAAAATGAAATTTTAATTAAATGTTTCTATTTTTTAAATTCGTATGATTTATTAAAAATAATATATATATACACATATGGTAAATTAGAATATTAATTTTGTGATTTCTTAAACCTTTTACAATTTTTTATTATAATTTTATATTTCTACTATATGAATAAATAAAATAATTAAAATCTAGAATAATAAAATAATATGAAATATGTTATATATATATATATAAATATAAATATATACATATATTACATAAAATTTGTCTACAAAAAAGGTTCATTACTAACTAAAATATGTTCTTTATTTCATTTTTATTTCATATTTTCATTTTTATATTTATTCTTTTATATTCTTATTTATTTATAATTTAGACATTTCTTTTTAGTAAAAATAAATTATTTTTTTTTTTTTTTTTCATATAAATTTTTATTTTTTATAATTCATTTATTTTTTATTTTGTCTTTTTATAACTAAAAAAAAAAATCAAAAATATATTATAAATTAATTAATTATATAAATAGAAAAATAAAATATATATATAAATATTATACTGAGGAAAATATTTTTTGATATAAAAAGGGGGAAAAAAAAAAACATAAAAGTATGAATATAAGAAAATTAATTATTAAAGATATATATATATATATATAATGTGTAATATAGAAAAATTCATTTTATATAAATTATTAGAAAATGAAAATAAGACAGTAAGAAATATACTAAAAAGAAAGTAATAATAATTTGATTATACTATATACAAAAAAAGAAAAAATATACACATTATAATAAAAATAATAGAAATAAAAAATAAAATTAATACATATATATATATATATATATATATGTATATTTTCTTATAGATAGAATTCTTTTCAAATTTTGCTTTTTTTTATTTTTTATAATTTATTTATATTTTTTAAAGTATGTGTATGTTTTGTAATCATGAAAAAAAAGGAGGATTTGAAAATACAGCAATAGGAACTTGGTCAAAAGGAATTAGTTTAATTTTTTGTTCTTCTATGTTTTTATTATATTTCATGAATGAAGATGAACTTACTATATATAATAAAAATATACAAGATGGAGAATATAAAATGATTTATTATTTAAGCATTTATAATTTAATTGGTGCATTAGTTTTGTTATTATTTTCTATTTTAGGGCATTTTGTATATAAGCCTCTTTTACGGCCAATTTATTTAAGTTCTTTTATTGTTTCTTTATTTTTATTTTCTTCTGGTGTTTATACCACTTCAATAAGTAAAAACATTTCATTGAAAATTATAGGAATAATGGATGCTCTTAAATTTCATCCTGATTACATGATACTTAATAAAATAAATAACTTGGGTATTAGTAGTGATGTTATTATGGCAGAAAAAGATGCACATCCATCTCATATTGATCCATTTGATAAATTTCCTGATACATCATCTTTTGATGCATCGAAAGTTTTAGAAATGATAAAAGATCGTCAATCTTTTCTAGAAAAGAAAAAAGAAATGCTATTAAAAACCTTAACTAAAGAAGATTTAGTAAAAAGTTTTAAAGATATAAGAGTTTCTGAAGATACTGCTTATAAAAAACTTTTAGAAAATACTTTATTAGAGTTATATGATAAATTAAAAAGTGTTCATTTAAATTTTGATGTATATGATAATTTTTATAAATTTTTAGAAACCAACACTGCTGCTTTTATTACAAACTCTCAGAAAATAAAAAGTTTTACAGACAATTTTCAGAAAATTGTTAATGCCTATAATAAGTCACTTTTTAACACATTAAAATATGAGTTAGTAAAGCAAGATAATCAAATAATAAAAATATATTTAGATTCAATTGATAAAATAAAAGGAGTAAAATTAAAAAATAAAAATGCAAAATTAGAAGAATATATAGATGATTTGAAAAAAAGAAATATACTTATTGTATCTTCTGTTTTGTTACTAATGTCTTTTATTTATATTCATAAGGGAGCAACTTTAACAACAGAAAGTTCTATGTCAATAACTTTAATGTAACAATATATTTATTTCTATAATTAATTATTAATTTATGTAATTATTTAATTATGTATATATATATATATATATAATTTCTTTATATACTTTTTAATTGTTCAAATAATAAATCATTATTAATCCTGTAAATTTTTACTTAAAATATTGTAAATTCTTAATTATTTTATCTTCTACATATATATATGTAAATTTTATTTTTTTTTTTTTTTTTTAGCTATGTTCCTTCTATGTCCTACTTAATTACTTTGGCATGCATTTTTGTTTGCAGTGGAATTTTTTTTTTTTCCATAATAGGACTAATATTATACATTTTTAGTTTGATCTTAATATTTTTTTTAATTTTTTCTCAGTGTTTTTGTGAACGTTTATTTAAGTTATTTATGGGATTTATATTTTTATTTTTATTTTTTTTTTGTTGTTTAATTGGGTATATTTTAATTGAAGATTTTAATGAAGGATCCAAAATTTATAATGAGTTCAAAAAAAATGATTACAATGATTTTTATTGGGTATTATTAAATAAAAATACTTATGAGCAATTTAAAAGTTTTATTTTGTTCTCAAATGGACATATGTTTTTGATATCTATAGCTTTATGTGTTTTTATGATAATATATTCTTTATATTCTACTTTTTACAATTTTCGTTCTATTTGTGCTCGAAAAGAACAGCTTGATAATTATGTTTAATATATATAATGCATTTTTATAAATTTTTAATATTCTCTTAAATATTATATAAATATATTTCTTTATTTTGTTCAATTTTTAAATTATTTTCAATATTTTTTCTTTTTTTTTTTTTTTTCTTATTTTATTTCTTAAAGAAGTTATTTTTTTACAATTCTATTATATGCTTAATGCACTGCCATTTATTCTCTTTTTTTTTTCTCCATAAAATTCTACATTTCTATATTTTATTATTATCTTTATTTTTATTATTTCAATTTTTAAGTTATAATTAATTATATATATTTGTATTTCATTTATCCTTGTCATTATTCCATCCTTTTTTTTTTTTTATTTTATGATTACTATTATTACTACTTGTTCCTTCTTCATAATTCTACTTTTTCCATATAATCCATATTTTATAAAAAAATTTTTTTTTTGAACATTTGAATAATGTTAAAATAAAATTTAGACATTTTTTTTAAAATATAAAAATATCAATTTTTACTAATAATAAATAACTTACCCAGCTTAATCCTCTCTCTCATTAAAAAAAAAAAAAAAAAAAAAAGAACAAATAAATTATTAGTATTAGAAAAATATCACTTAATTTAGAAAAAAACTATTATGAGATAATTTATATTCGTTAAACATGTTAAAGTAAAACTAATGCTACCTTAAAAAACGTATATATGATTAAAATATAAAATTCACAATGCTACTAATTTTTTTAATTTCAAAAATAAAAATTATAAAATTATTTACTTCATATTAACATTTAACTATTAATTAATAACAGAGTTTGATATGTTTTTCTCATATTTTAAAAAAAAAAAAATAAATAATGTGTAAGTAAAATAAAAATCCTTAATTTTTTAAAGTAGATAATAAAAGTGAAAAATAAAGATTTTTTTTTTTTTTATTTTTCATATTATTTATTTGATACTTTAAAAATTATATTTATTTGTTTGTGAGTTATATTAATAAAAAAGAATATTCTTATAATATAATATATAAAGAAATATTTTGGAAATTTTCCACTAATTTCTTTTTACAATGTAAAATTTCATTTCATTACTGAATGTTTACTTTGCTAACAAACATTCTTTTACTTTTTTTTCTGTATATAAGAATCAAATTTCTTGAATAAAATTCATTTTTTATACATTTTAATAAAGGTTTAATTTTGGTTGTATGTGCATATTTTTTTTTTTCTTTACATTAAGCTGTATATATATTGAACTATTTTTGATTTATAATTATTATATCAGATTATTTAATTTTAATAGTTAATATAAAGTTTTTATATATTTTTTTTTATGATTATTATATTTACTTTTGATAGATTAAATATTTTTCTTCTGTGTACAAATAAAAAAAAACAATATATGATTAATATCATTTTAATATCCATAGAATATTGAAAATCATTACTATGTATTAATGTGCATTTTAGAATAAACTACCCAACTTTACTTAAAAACTGTTAGTAAATATAAATATATTATGAGAATATTACAAGAAAATACTTATTCATAGAATCAAAAAAGAAATAAAAATACTTTAAATTAAATGTATATAATATATATATACATAACAATCGAATAATAATTAAAAAAAAATATATATATTCACATTCAATAGAATAAAAGGTATAAAAAAAAAAAAAAAAAAATAAATGAATTAAAAAAGAAATACATTACAACTATATATTCCAAAAAAACATATTTTTCATAGTTGTAACTTATACTTTTTTTTTTTATTTTTAAATTACTATACATTAAAAAATTGATAAAGTATATTAAAATAATTTAGATATTTTTTTTTTTATAAAAGAATGGATTAATATAAAAGTTATTTTATTTATATTCTTCATATAGGATAAAATATTTTATGAAACTATAGAAACATTTAAAAAAGTCATAAAAAATTATCTCATTTAAAAATAAGAATTTCATTTACACACATTATTCTCTAAAATGTTAAAAATATTAAAAAGGGCATTAACAAAAAGTTGTGATAAAATGTTTACAACTTAATTTGTCTTTCACTTTTAAATTAATTATATATATATATATAATTAGATTCTTTTAATTTCTAGTTGTATTTCAATATAAATGTTTTTATAACGTATCAAAAAAAAAAATTGCATTTATATTGCTTTAAAGATAAAAAGCATTATGCTCATGTTATAGATTTTTACTTAAACTAATTTTATAAAATGAATATATAATATAAAACTTAAAAAAAAAAAAAAAAATAAAAATAGTATATTTAAACACATAAAAGAAAACATAATATATATTTTATAATATAAAAAAAAAAAAAAAAAAAAAAAAAAAAAAGAAAATAAGAAAAATAACAAACAAATTTTTTTTTTTTTTACACTTATATCAAATACTTTTTAATAAAAAATTACTATTAAATTATAAAAAGATAAAAATTATTTTAAAAATAAAAATATATAAAATTATTTGGGAAGGATTTTTGAAAAAAATATTAAATTTATAAAATGATATCTCCATAATTTGTTAATCTTCATTAATTTTTTTAAATCCTAAAATGATTCTATTTTTATGGAATTATACTTTATAAAAGAATAGAAAACTTAATCAGAGTTATAAATTAACATTATATAAAGTAATAAAAATAATTATAAATAGTATTTTTAATTTATATATAATTTTATTATTACTTCTAATAATTATTCTTTTCCTTTAAATTAATATATTTAAAGAAATATATATATATATATATATGAATATGAGTAAATAAAAAAAATCTTTTTTTTTTTTTTTTTTTTATCCTACGTAGATAATTCTTATAGATATTTTACTTTTCCAAAATCAATTCTTCTGGTAGCATAAACTGTCCAAAAAAATCTTTGCCATACAGTCATTAATACCATTGCAACAAAAGCACCACAAATTAATTTTAGTGCTGTTAATTTTCTTTCATCATGTGTAGGTTCCGTTGCCCAACATAAAAAGTTTACTACATCTTTCGCCATTTGAGAAACATTACATGGTGTCCCATCTTCATATTCAATCATATCATCTTGAAGTGGTGGTGGCATAGATATAGATCCACCAGGAAAATATGTGTTGTAATACAAGCCAGGTCTTAATACAACTCCTTGTGGTGGATCACGATAACCTGTTAACAATGCAAATAAATAATCTGGTCCATTATGTCTAGCTGATGTTATAACTGATAAATCTGGTGGTACAGCTCCTCCATTTGCATATCTTGCTGCCTCATCATTTGGATATGGTTTTGGAAAAGAATCTGTTAAAATGCCTGGTCTTGTAAACATCTCTCCTTTATCATCAGGGCCATCTACTATATCATAAGATGCTGCTATTTGTTTTACTCTGTTCTCAGGATAAACTTCATTAACTAAATGACGAAATTGTAACTGTTCCATCGAATGACATGTTGCACAAATTTGCCTATAAACCTCAAAACCTCTTCTTACACTTGGTATATCATGAGAATGAAAAAGTGATTTAAACCAAAATGGATAATGTGGAGGATGTGGTGGTTCTGAATCCATACACCATGCAACTGGTCTTGATTGAAAAGAATTGTGTATGATAGTAAAACCAAATGCACATAGTAAATAATATTTTAAATTTAAATATTTAAAATTTTTTCTATTTTCATTTTCTTCATCGGTATATGGTTCTAAATGATTTTTCAATCTATCCTGACTTTTTTTATCTGGTAAGTAAAAGTCACATCCTTCTTCTAAGGTTCCTCTACAAATCTGTCTTTTATAATCTGTGTGACTATTTTTATAACTATCATTGGGTTTTAATTTATCTAATATGTAGAAATTTAAATTTTTTATTCTATTATTTTTTATTTTCGCTTTTGATATATTTCTTTCAAATTCCTTATTCCATGATTTTATTAAATATACTCGAAACTAAAAAAAATTAAAATTTTTATTGGAATTTTTGTATGCACATGTACATATAAATATATATATAAATATATATATAAATATATATATAAATATATATATAAATATATATATAAATATATATATATATATACATACATATATATATATTATTTAATGAAAAATAAAAATAAAAATAAAAACTATATAGCATGGTTTAATGATGAACTATATAAATTTTTAAATTTATTTTTATAATTTCTTCAAATATTTCAAAAGAAATTTAATGTCATTTTATATTTACCTGATAAGGAAGTTTTAACCATATTTTATCCTTGTATCCTGGAAATAAATTATTCAATGCTCCACCACCGGCCATATTTTTTTAGGCCTTTAATACTTTTAATCAAAAAAGTAACGATAAATAATAAATTTAATTAATTTATATTGTAATTAAATTTATCATTTAAATGCTTATAGCTATTCAAATTTATGAATTTTTATTTAGATAAATCTATATGTATTTAATTATATCTTTTTTCATACATTCATAACAATCACTTTTTCTTTTTTTTTTTTTTAAATTGTACATGTATATATATATAAATATTAACAAAGTGAATTTTTTTATAAATTTTTTTATCAAAAAAAAAAAAAAAATTTTATAAATTTTATATTTCAAAATGTTTATTGTTTGTTTTCAAAGCAGTGTAAAATTTAATTTTTATTCATTTCATAATTATGCTAGAAAAAAAATTTTCTTTTATTTTAATTAAAATTATCAGTAAATATTTTAATCTGCATTAAAAAAATATAAAATAAATTATCAAAAAAGTTTCTAGTAAAACGGAACAATTGTAATTTATAAAGTTTATTCTTGTGTAATTTAACATATTGAAAGATTATTAAAATAAAAAAAAATATGTATATAATTTTTACAAAATTTTATTTATTTTATAAGTTTTATTATTATTTAAAATATTAAAAAACTTTTTATATATAAAAAAAAAAAATAAAAAGTTTTATGCTGAATGATTTGTTATTTTAGTTCCTTAATTAGTATTTTCATTTTTAATTTTTTTAATTAAATTTATTGAAATTATAAATTATAAAAATATTAATATGAAATATATATATATATATGATCATTGCAAAAATATATAGTCAAAATATGAAAAACTTGTAATAAAATAAAATGAATTCTAAGAACGTATAATGAAAAATAAAAGAATAAAAACATTGAAATATTTCAACATAGTAGTGAAATATTTATACATATGTTTATTTGTATATTTGTTGTTTTTATGAAATTATGTTTTTTTTTATTTAATAATGTGTAATTTAAAAAATTACTGGTTATTTAATACATATTTGAAGTATAAAGTTTGAAAATTATTTTATAAAAAAGTAAAATGAAAAGTTTCCTAATAATATTATTAAAATAAGATAATATTTTTAAACTAGTGTTTAGAGATTATATATGTTATAAATACATTTTATTTTTTTGTAAGCAAAAGATTATAATGGTAATAAATTCCAGTATCCATGCAACGGATTTTTTAAATATTTTTTATTAGAAAATGAGAAAAAAATGTCAGAATATAAATAATTGAAGTTTTTTGAAATGTATTTAATTTTCTTTATTTTTCTAGGATGCTATTTTCCTTAATTTTTTTTAAAATTCCCTTAATTTACTTATGTATTTGAATTTTTTTTATATACAAGGTGTGGTTTCATATATTTTAAATAAAACATAATAAATTAAAATAAAAATGTATAAATAATATATATGCTTTTTAAGCCATATGATCTACTATATACATTGAATATTTTAATGTCTAATATGAAATAAAAAATTTTTAAAATAATATCATTAAATAACACCTAAAAAATAATAATGATGAATATTTTACATTAAAATAAAATGACATACAGGAAAACTGTGACAAACGTATCTTATTTATAAATTTTTAATAATCCTAATTTATTGTACTTTGTGTTAACAAAAAATATATATTTTTTCATAATATTTCACAAATATAATGTAAATACTTTTTAACTTTTTTTATTATATCATTCATAATTATAAATAATACACAAACATACTATAATTTTACTTAAAATACATCTTCACAATGAAAAATAAAAAGAAATTTGTATTCCTATATTTATAAGTTGTAATTTATTTTTTAATTCTTCCAACATATAAAATTTTAGCTTAAAGTTCTCTAAAAAAAAAATTAGTTAAATGTTCAAAGATTAAAAATATTATTAATAATAATTCACACTTTTTTTATAGAAATAATTTTAAAAATATAAAGAAAAACTATAAAAAAATTGTTCTTATGTAAAATGCATATAGGCAATTTTATCAAAAAGAAGTAACTTTAAAACTTTTATTATATTAGAAAAATACCATGTATCATAAGAATAGTTAAAACCTTTTGAAATCTTATGTAAATTTATTTTATTTCAATATTACAATATCAGTAAAGAAAAATATATTAAAATTATTAAGTATTAAAAAAAATATTATATTTTAGTAGTTTATAAAATTAACATTTACATAAAATTATTTTAAGTTTATACCAATTTATATACTTCTCAAGGTTTAAATTTTACTGAAATTCACATATTTTTTTTAGTGAGTTCTTTTAAATGAGCTAAAAGTATTTATACTTTATAATTATTTATGCATGTGGTATAAAATTTATTCATTTTATGTATCCCTTTTATCCAAAAAATTAAATGAAGAGCATAATTTATAATTAAAATAAAATTTTTTACTTGGTATCGCAAATAACCACCTTACATCTATAAATATTGTCTCCTTATATATAACATCCATTTTTACTTTTATAGATCTCTCTTTTTTTTTTTTTTTTTTCATTTAATAACTAAATAATTTTTATATATGAATAAAACTTTTATAAAACACAAACCTTGAAAAAAAGAAAAAATTGTACGCTTACATGGAAAAAAAAAAATAAAAAAGGTAAATTTAGATAAAAAGAAATAATAAAAAAAAATTTATATTTGCACACATGCATGTCGCAATAATGCAATAACTAGATATAAAAATACATATATATATATATATATATATATATTGCTTGTATTTATATATGTGAGCGTATTATATTTTTTTTTTTTTTTAAATTTCTTAAAAAGTTCGGAATATATGCCTTTGAAATACAAAAACACTTAATTTTTAAGTGAAATTCAAATTTAAATATTATAAAAAAAATAATTTCATCTTTAATAATTTTTTTATTTATTATTTAAAAATTTATTTACATATTTCAAATTTTTTTTTTTATTTTTATATATAAATATTTCTTTTTTGCAATTCTTAATAGAAATTTTATAATTCATTAATTAAATATAATTTTCATTTTATTCATAATTAATTTGAATTAAATATGGCAGTAACAAAGCTTGGAATTAATGGATTTGGACGTATTGGACGTTTAGTATTTAGAGCTTCTTATGGAAACAAAGATATTGTTAGCTTTTTACTTGATTAAAGAAAAAAAATGATACACATATATTCATATATTAGAATTATTACTTATATAAAAAAGGCATAAATGCTTCATATTATTTAATAGCCTTATATATATTTAAGATACATTATTATATATAAAAAAATACATATATAAAATGATAGAGTACATTAATAGTAACATTTAAATGAGAAATATGTATAAATTTTAATATACATTTATTAAATTTTATATATATATACACTTTTTAAATGTTGCATGGTGATTTTTTTTTTTTTTTTTAGGAAGTTGTTGCTATTAATGACCCATTTATGGATATAGCACACCTTGCTTACTTATTAAAGTATGATTCAGTTCATGGAAAGTTTCCTTGTGAAATCAAAACTGATGATAAAAATTTATATGTAAATGGAAAAAAGATTAATGTACACAATGAAAGAGATCCAGCTCAAATTCCTTGGGGTAAATATAACATAGATGTTGTATGTGAATCAACTGGTGTATTTTTAACAAAAGAATTAGCAGGTGCTCATATTAAAGGTGGAGCAAAAAAAGTTGTTATGTCAGCACCTCCAAAAGATGACACACCAATTTATGTTATGGGAATTAATCATGAAAAATACAACCCAAAAGAACTTATTGTTTCTAATGCATCTTGTACAACAAACTGCTTAGCACCAATTGCTAAAGTATTGCATGAAAAATTTGGAATTATTGAAGGTTTAATGACAACTGTTCATGCATCAACATCTAATCAATTAGTAGTAGATGGACCATCAAAAGGAGGAAAAGATTGGAGAGCTGGAAGATGTGCTTTAACTAATATTATTCCAGCTTCTACAGGAGCAGCAAAGGCAGTAGGTAAAGTTTTACCAGAATTAAATGGAAAGTTAACAGGTGTTGCTTTTAGAGTTCCTGTTGCAGATGTATCAGTTGTAGATTTAGTATGCAGATTACAAAAATCTGCCAAATATGAAGATATTGTAAGTGAAATCAAAAAAGCAGCTGATGGGGAATTAAAAGGAATATTAGGATATGTAGAAGATGAAGTTGTATCTCAAGATTTCGTACATGATAGTAGGTCATCAATTTTTGATGTAAAAGCTGGCTTAGCATTAAATGAAAATTTTTTCAAATTAATTGCATGGTATGATAACGAATGGGGATATTCAAATCGTATTCTTGATTTAGCAATTCATATTACAAAACATTAAATACTATAAAATAATCCTTATATTTTTTTTTTTATCAAAATTAATTTAAAAGTTCATAAATTTATCCCTTTAAAAAAAAAAAAAAAAAAAAAAATTAAAGTTATTATATATATATATATTTTTCTATTGTACATAAAATATTCTAATATAATGTTTTAAAAAATTAATAAAATATTAGTATTAAGAAACTGCACAGTAATTATGTACGAATGTAGATTAGCTATTAATCATACTATTATGTACATTTTACATTATATACATTTCAATATAAATTAAAAAGAAAAAAGAATTTTTTTATGAAATAAATATTATTTTTTTTATCCTATTCAAGAAGGAAAATTTAAAAAAATATGGATTTATATTGGTTGCTGCAATAAATTTGATTTTATTAGATTTATTTAAATAAATACTCATGTAATGTATTAATAAAATATAAATATTTTTGTAAACATCTTCATTTTGATCATCTTCGAAACCTTTATAATTCTTATTTTTTTCAAGAAATATATCAATATTGTCAAAAATAATTATGGACGGTTGATTTCTTAAAGCCATTAAAAAAACTTTTTTTATATATCTGCTATTTTCACCAATTGTTTTATTTATTAAAAGATGATTTTCGAATGGAATTATTCGCACATTTTTAAATTTATAAAAAAATTTTTTTTTTGCTATAAGATGAATTTTTTTTAATTGAGAATAATACTTAAAATATTTTTTGTTATTAATATAATTACTTTTATGAATGGTCTTAGTAAAAATGGGTTGAATATTTTCGCTTATATATTCATTTTTTATATTGTTACTTTTACAAATTTTTCTTTTATCAATAAATAAGCTTTTATAATTTGAAGAAATTATATGAATAAGGAATTTAATTAATGTACTTTTTCCTACACCATTTTCTCCATATATTAATAAAGTATTAGGAATATTAATTTTACTGAAATAAAAGTGAATATAATTTTTTTTATCTGAATTATAGATATTATAATGGTTATTTTGATAATCATTTTTTAGTATAAACTGCTTTCTAATTTCTTTTAATTTACTAAATTTCATATATTTTATATCTTTGTGGTTTATATTTACACCACAATTGCTTATAAGATTACATGGATACATATTGTTTCCATTAATAGTACTATTATTGTGTTTATCATTATTAAAATTGCTTTTTCTACAATAATCAATATTATTTGTGTTTTTATTTATGTTATAAATTTTATTATTATTTTTTGAATAATTAACATTTTTAGATAATTTTATATGTTTTTTAAGAAAAGTGTTTATATAATCTTTTATAAAAATAGACGTATAATAATTTGTACATATATGTTTTAAAATATTATTAGCTCTACAACTATAAAGAAAAATGCATATTTTTTTTTTTTTTTTTTCACTTAGTATATATTTGTATTTCTTGAGATACTTAAAATCCTTTAAAGAGATTAAAAAATTTAACAATTTAAAATTTTTTTTTACAAATATATATTTTTCAACTTTATTTTCATTTATTCTTTCAAATCCCAATTTCTTTTTTTGCTTATTTTCTTTGTTTTTTTTAAAATTAAGAAATTTAAAATAGTATTTAAAAAAACACTTGAACATATTTATATCACCATTTACAAAATCTAATCTATCACTTAATATTTTATATATTAAATTTATAGATAAGTTATTTTCCTTATAACAAAGATTAATTCTTTTATTTATATTGATATAATAAAGAATATATGTATTATTAAAATAATCAATATTAATTTTATAATCAAACAAATCATCATATAGATCAAATATATCATTAGTTTTATGAAAACCAATAAATTTAACGCAATAATTTTTATTTAAATTTTTCAGTAAACTATTTTTTAAATAACAAAATGTGTTATAAATATGCATATTAATATCTTTTCTTTTGACTTTTTCCTCATCATATTCTTCAGCTAAGTTTACACTTTTTCTCTGTTTTATTGAAATAACCCATTCATCAAAATATGGTAGAAAAAAAACAGATTTATAAATTTTATTTCTTTTAATATATTTTATGAAATCTAAGAATATTTCTTTTAAAAGTTTTGGAATATTTTCAGAATTATATATGCTTACAATATCAACAATACATGTATATATATTTAAATCTACTTTTATAAATTGTAAAATATTATTATAAGTTTCATACGAATTGATGTTGCTACATTGAATACATGTAAATATGTTTTTATTGTTTTCAATCAAATCTATAAAAATTTGAATATTATTTATGTTATCAATATTTTTTTTATTCTCCATCATTGTATATATAATATACACTTAATGTTTTTTTTTTTAAAAAAATTTTAAGAATCTAAAAATTGTCATATTTTATATACAAATTTTTATTATTAAGAGAAAATAAAATTGCTGAAAAAAATTGTAAATATTATATTTAAAATAAATCAAAATTAAAAATATAAAAAATTTTCAAAAAATAATTTTATATTTTAAAGATTGATCTTCAAATAAGTTTTTATTTTAAATTTGAAGATGCTACAAAAAATTAAATAAAATGAAAAATAAAATATTATAATTCTATAACAATTATAAAAATATAATAATCTTGTTTAAACTTTCTGTAAATTTCTTTTTTTTTTTTTTTTAAATATTAAACAATTTTTAATGAAATACATTGATTAATTGTTTAAATGTTTTTTTTTATTTTTTTTCATAATTCATTATTTTATAATAAATTCTAAAAATTTAATAAAGTTTTTCTATTGTTTTTTACAAAAAATTTTCAATGTTTAAATATATTTTTATAAAAAATTATTTTAATGCTGAAAACAAAAATAAAAAATTAAAAACTAGGATTAAATATCAAGATAAATTTTAAGAACAAAAAGAAATAATTAATAAACCATATAATTCTTAAGTATAAACACATATATATGTATATATGTATTATTTATATGAGTATTTTTTTTTTTTTTTTTAATATTAGTATATATATATATATATATATTTTTATTAAAATTTAATATTAATATTTATAATAATAATTATTAAAAAAAAAAAAAAAAAAATAATAAAAAAATTAAAAAATATCTGAATAAAAGTGTATATTAAAAAAATAATTTATGAGTAGACAAAATCTTATTTAATTACAATAAAAGAGAATTTTCTTTCATTTTATTCTATTTAAAAAGGTTCTTCCTTTTAACATATAAAGTATTTTTATTTAAAAACCATTTTTTTTTTTTTTTTTTTTTTTTTTTTGCCTATTTTTAAAATTTAATAACAAAAAAGGTTTTTCTCAATATCAAATATTTATATTATATCTTTATTAAAATTCAATTTATTTTTTTTTTCCTTAACTATTTTTCCATTGACATTCTATTCTTTTATTGATTTCTTCAAATAATTCAATAGTGTCTGGTTTATTTAAGATTGAATCCTTTGCAGAAAAAATGGAGGTATTTTTGAAAGCGTTAATAATATTAATCATATGGTTTTGAAAATTTGATATATCAATAATTTCTTTATCATAATAATTTTTTTTTAAATTTTCAAAAATATATTTATATATTTCATTATCTTTAATAAATAATCTTAAAACATAATTGACAATAGAATAATTATATATATTCATATTGAATACTGGAACCATACAATAAATAATTCTGAGCATTAAATTACTTGAAGATTTAAATAAATGAAAATTGTTTTCAAATAAATTTTTGTAACTTTCTAAGAAATTCATAATTTTATTTAATTCATTAACTGGTGTTACAATTTTTTCAAAACAAAAACCTGAGTGAGCCAATGAAACAAAAACATCTATTTCTATCTGTCTTATATTAAATTCATTTATTTTATTTTTTAAATTTGACATTTCTAAAATTTCCTTAAAACATGTTGTTTCATTTATTTGTTGCATTCTAGAAGCAACTGTTAAACAACATATTCCCATTATTTTTAAAACATCTTTTTCTAAATTTTTTTTTAACAATTTAAAAATAATTACATTTAAAAATCTATTATTACATAATAAAACTTTTAATGCATCACAAGCAACATATGCTAATTCTTCATAATCATTTGAAAATAATTTTTCAGATATGACAAAAAGCCATGTCTTTATATTTACGTAATCATTATATGCGCAATTTACTGCTTCTAGTCCGTTATAAAATATATCTTTTAGATTACAATCTTCTAAAAAATTTTCATGTAATTTTATTTTTCTTGTATTTGTAATTATTTCTCTCATACTAATTACCTTTTCCATTTTTTCTTTAAAACAATCAAACAAATAATTTTAATTCGAATAAATTCTTTATATTAAAAAAAAAAAAAAAAAAAAAATTAAAACATATATACATATATATATATGTACACAACATATGAGAAAAAAAAAAAAAAAAAAAAAAAAAAATTAAAACCTATTAAAACAAATTATTTTTTAACCAGAAATTTTTTCACATTTTATTTCTGTTTACTCAATAATGTTATTCATATTAAAAAAAAATATATTTATAATTATATATTTTATTTATTTTTATATATATTACGAATTAAAAAATTTCTAAAAAAAAGATTTATAATAATTAATTAAAAAAAATTAATCTTAAATAGGGGATCATAATGTCAATATATATACATTATATATATAATGATATGTACCTTTATTTTTTTAAAAAAAATTAAAAATTAAATCTAAGCATCACATGAATTCATTATGAACATATTATTTATATTAATTTTTTTTTATATAAAATATGCAATTTTTAAAGTAATGCTTAGAAATAAAAATGAAGATTTATTTTATAAATAAATATATATTTATAAATATATTTTATAATAAATATTTTTATATTATTTTATATAAATTTTTTATAATTTAACAAAAAAGTTTGCATATATTCGGAACGCACAAATATTTTTTTTTTTTTTTTTTTTTTTTTTTTGTCAGTTAACTGTTAAATTCAACATGTTTTTACATTCTTCAAATAAATCATTAAAATCAGCTCCCAATTTTTTACAAACCTAAAGATAAAAAATTTTTTAAATAAAAAAAAAAAAAAAAAAAAATCAGATATGATTGTAAAATAAAAATTTTTTTTTTTTTTTTTTAATTTTTGACAATATATACCTTCATTTTTAATTCGATATTGCATATTTGATTTAAAATATACTTAAAAGAAAGTACATGATTTCGATAGTTAAAAATTTTATGCTTTTCATTATCAGATGAGTAGATTATGTTTATTGCAGTTAAAATATAACAAGAGAAATCAAAATTTAAAAGATTTTTTTTTATTGTTATATATTTATATTTTTTTATAGGAAATGTATTATAAGATTTTAAATGAATACTATTAATCTGAAATAATTTAATTATATATTTTAATGTGTTTTTGTCAATACAACTATAAGAACAATAGTCCGATAAATATTTTTTATTATCATATATAACAACTTGAATATATATTATTTTAGGAATAAAAGAGTATACTAAATCATCATAATTTTTTTCATACACCTAAAAATTAAAAAATATTATAATGAAATTTATATACACATGAAATTTTATATTGTAAATATATTTTTATTCATTTAATAATTTCCAGTAAAAATTTATGATAATATGTATAAACATATTCATATATAAATTTTTTAAAAAATATAACATTATATATATATATATATATATATTTTTACCTTTAATATAATTAATGTTTCGTAAAACACTGGATGTTGCTCAATTAATGAAATAAGACTATCCAATGATAAATTTAGAAAAGTTATTTTATATTCTCGTAATGCAATATCATACTGCAATATATTTTCAAAAATATTATCAATATCTTCATCAATTTTATTTACCAAAAAATTTAATGAAATATGATTTTTTAAATAAGATGAGAAATCGTTTTTTTTAATTTTTTGCAAATTTTGTTTATTATGTAAGTAAATGTATTTTAATTGCAAAATTAAAAGGTAAATTAAATTTATGTTATAATTATATTCGGATAAATTTTCAATTTCTAGCAATATTAGTGAACAATGATGTAACAAATGTATACTAATAATTATTGTATTTAAGTTATATTCATTAAAAATATCATCTTCGTTTTTCAAATTTTTTATATAATTCTTAGCTTTTTTTTTTAATAATTTATATAATTCATACTTTAAGCCTAATTTTTTATATATCCGTGTTAATATCTCTATGTCCCATTTAGTAAATTGTTGGCAATACATAGTTATATAAAACGATAATATAGAAATAAACAAATTATCATCATAAAATAAAAAAGAACTATTTTGAAACTTATTTAAATAATTTTCATATAAATTTGGTAAGTCTGAAAAATTTAAGTTATTAAAATTATATAAAATATTTATTTGTTTTTTTTTCTCTTCATTTCTTTCTTCTTTCTCCTTTTTATACATATTTTTTAAAATAATATATAACCAATTGCGAAATTTAAGTTTTCCTTCATTTTTTATAACACTATCATAACAACTTTTTTTCATTTTAAAGTTTTTATGTTTCACTATTACATTATTATTAGAAAAAGTTTCATTACTTGAATAGTTACAAGAACTAATAGAATCTAATAGCATTTCTTGTTTATTACTGTTAAAATTAAAATTATTTTTGAATTTATATATATTCTTATTATATAGTAGGCAATTATTATTTAATGAAATACTTAAATCACAGTTAAAATTATACACATTTAAGGATAAAAAAATGTTTTTACTATATTTTAAAAAATCATAAATCAAATTATTATCAAAAAGTAACTTAAAAAGAAAATATAATTTATCATACTCATTTATGTTTACTAATATTCTAAAAATAAGATATGATTTTCTTCTTTTTATATATATAAAAGTTCTTAATTTAATTATGTTAATAATTTTATTAATATGTTTTTGAGATGTGAATTTACATGATAATCTATATAAAAAAATTATAATTTCTACTTCTAATTCTAAAGATATTATTACATTTCTTTTATAAAAATTGATTAAATTAGTAAAAAATACATTAATAAAATTATGGTCATATCTTTTTATATTAAATAATAATTTTTGAATGTTCCCTTTACATGAGTAATTTTCTTTTTTTCTTTTAGAATTTTTATTTTTTATCATTATACCCAAAATAAAGAAATAGACATCCAATACACTTTTAAAATAAAAGTTTTTGTATATTAAATTACATGAATTTGTTGTTATTAAATCTATGTATTTATTTAGAAATGCTAAGGAACATTCATAATATATTATAATTTTTTCATCAGTATTTTGTATACCTTTTTTTTTTAATTTATTATTTAAATATTTCTTTGAGTGACATTTTATTACTTTCTTTTTTATGTCATTTTGAGAATAATTATTATTGTCACATTCATTTAAATTATATTTATGAAAATTATTTAATAAAAGTAAAATAAAATTATGATAAATTAGTAAATTAGCAACAAATAAATTTATCCTATTATTAAATAAATAAATAAATTTTAACCCTATGGAAAAATTAAAAGTTTCTTCATTTAAGTTAATAAAATTTTTTAAAACATAAAAAAGTACTGTTATAAAATAAATTTGGTTATTTGTATCATTATAAAATATTGGTTTTATTATTATGTTTGTTTTTTTTTTAATACTATATAATATTTCAGTAGTTAGAATGAATTTGTATATATCACAACTACAATGTTTTTTTGATTTTTTTATAAAACTCTCAAAATTGATACATGAATTTTTTTTTTTTTTTTTTAAATAAAGTATATTCATTAAATGTAATCCTAATTCTTTATTAATACATAAATAATAAAATATAATAAGAGAATGGACTGAATTTATAAAAATATAATTATATATATTGTCAATATTTAAATATGAATGGTCATTATTATCATTTAATTTTATTTCAAGATTTTTTTTTATATCAGCTTCATTTTTTTTATGAATGTGATAATTTTTTATTTTCATTAAGAAATTAAAACAGTTAGAACATTCTTTGTCTTTGTTATCTTTAAAGAAATAATCTAAAATTGAGGATGAATATGTCTTTATGGTTGTTGGAATAATTTTGTTTTTTTTTTTATCCTTTTTTATATTAGTTTTATTATTGTGTTTTAAGTTAAAATTGCATATTGTTTTATCATCTTTTTTCAATATTTTATTTTCATATTTTTTTATATACTTATATATATTTTTAAGGTCAAAAAAATTGATGATTTTTTGCACTGTAATAATATCATGGTTATTAATTAAATTATTCACACATATAAATATACTTAGCAAAATATTTATGCTGTCTTTATATGATATATTCTTGTTTTGTTTTTTTATGCTGAAAATGAAGTTATAATTAAAATTTTCTTTTTCTTTTATTATTCTAGAATAATTTTGTTTATTATTATTATTATTATTATTATTATTATTATTATTATTATTATTATTATTATTATTATTATTATTATTATTATTATTATTATTATTATTTTCTTTTATGTTATAATTAATGCACTTTTGTCTTTTTTCATTATCAATTTTTTTTTTATTCACATTAAAACTTTTATTAAAATTGCATTTTATACTACTGGTAATATCAGTATTATTTTCAATATAATTCTCATTTTTAATATTACTGCTATTAATAAAATTATTTGTAACAGTGTGTCTAACAAAGGAATGATCTATATTATTTTTTTTTATCAGTATATCTTCTCCAGAATTATCATTTATATTTATAAATTGTTCATCATATTTGTAAATAGAATTAATTATTCTTAAATGTTCATTTATTTTTATCTCATCTGTTACATATTTATTTTTAATGTAATTATGCACATTTACGACTGTATTTCGATTCTTGTATTCATCTAGATTTTTTAAAATACTTTCTATATATGAAATATTTAGTTCGTTAAAATTTATGGAGATTTTTTTTTTAGTTGATAAACTTAATAAATATATCACTTTTAATTTTAAATTGCTTGTAGTATATTTATTTATGCACAAACTTTTTATATATTTTATATTTCTACTAAAATTAATGAAATATTTTTCAGAGAAATTATAAAATTGCTCATGTAAATTCAAATTCTCTTTGCATTTTTTAAAATTTGGAAATAATCCTTTATAATAATTCATGTATTTTTTTCTATTTTCATTATATTCTTTAAATAAAAATATATTTTCACTTTCTTCATTGCTCAAAGGTAAGAAACTTAATATGCACACACTGGAATTATTTTTTTTTTTATTTTGAGAATCTCTTTTTGTGCGATTCTTACTTAATAAATTTTGAAGTTTTAAAACTTTACTTTTCACATAATCAAACATACAATTTTCCTTAATTTTTTTTTTTTCCTCATTTTTTTCTTTTAAAGTATTTATAAGAAATATACATAATAATAAAATACATATTTGATCAAAAATGCTTAATATGGATTGATGAGTGAAAGAGTAATTCAAAAGGAACAAGAGAAAAATTATATTTGAGTAGGAATAAGAAATAGAAACCTCATATAAGAATATAATATAGTTATGTATATAACATTTGTCTTTTATTATATTCAGAAAATGATAGAAACATATGTAATGAAGTAAAACAAATTTATCTAGTTTGATATGTACTTTGTTATGTGTAAAAACATATTTTGACGGATCATCTATTGACTCATAAACTTTTTTAAAAATTTTTTTTATGTATTCAAATTTTTTCATATTTATCAACTCTTCACATATATCAAAAATATCAAGGATATCTTTTTTTATTTTAAATTTATTTAATACTTTATACACATAAAAATCAAAATTATATTTGCAATCATGTTTTGTCTTTAGTAATATCTTTAATATGATATACCTAAAAAATATAAAATAAATACATAAAATGTTGATATAATATTCGTATATTTTATTATTTTTTTTTTTTTTTTTTTTTTTTTTTTGGAACTTAATTTTTATACATTGATATTATTCTTATGATTATTTTTGTTCATACCTAATATTGGAGTGGTTAATTAATAGATAATTAATAACATGCGTAAAAAAAATATAATATAGATTACTATTTTTATTTTTATTTTGATTCATACACTTATTATAATGTTTTTTTAAATAAAATTCTGCATTACAAAAATGATATTCTTTTATACATTTTATAAAATTGTATAACAAGACGATAGGTTTGTTAAAATAAAAGATATATAAAAATCTATGCAATAAGTTAAATATACCATTAGAAATATTAAAAAAAATTAAAAAATATGTTGTCTCTTCTTTCTTCATGATGTCAAAAAATAAGTTAATTCTTTTAGTTTTATATTCATTTAAATTTTGAATAAAGTTATAAAACTTTAATTTATTTACATCTACAATTCGAAAATTGTTTAAATATAATAAATAACTATCAATTTGTAGATAAAACCATATATTTTTTAATAAACTAATTAATTCTTTATATTCTTCTTTCTTTTTTTTAAAAAATATTAAAAAATTTTTAAAATTATTATAAGAGTTAAAATTTATTCCAAATATTTTCTCGTATTTTTTAATGTTAGTTATATCATATTTTTCATTTTTTTTTTTTACAAGTTGTCTGCACTTTCTAACAAAAAAATAAGAATAATTCTTTTTATAGATAAATTGAACATAAGCAGTAAGGTATATATAAAACTTTGTATAATACGAATTATTATTGATTGTGAATTCTAAAACATTTTGAATACTTTTATAATCAAAATCACTGTAAATGATGCAATACAACAATTCTAAAACAGTTTTATTTGAAAAACTAGTAAAGTTGTCATTATAAAAATATTTATTACTTATGAATATATTCCTTATTTTTTTCAAGAACATGATAGGTAAATTATTATTGTTATTACTATCATAGTTATTATTTATATTATTATTATCACTATTCAAATTTTTTAAATTTTTTGTTTTAATTATTGATTGAAATTTTATTATATGATGCACATTATTTCTAACATGATTTAAAAAAGTCAATAAATGATTTTTGGTATGTTTGTTTTTTGTGTATAAATTAATGATATCTTGGCACGTTTTTATATCAATTTTCTTATCAATACATTCATAAAAAAAAATAAAAATATCATTTTTTTTGCTTAATATATGCAATAATGTTAACGGTTGATGCACATTATTAACTTTACAATATAATGAGATAATATTCAAAAAATCGTTGAAATATTTTTTTTTTCTTTTTTTCTTTTCTTTCATTCTATATTGTATCGACATTTCTAATAAAAGTAAAATAAAAATTTTCGCTGTTTTTTCTTTTTTTATATAATAATTAACATTGCTTATTTGTTCATTTTTATTCTTTTCTACTTCTTCAAATTTTTTATTTTCTTCATTAATTTTTTCTTTTTCTTCATTGAAATTGTCTTTCTTTTCACTTAATTTTTCAGTGTTTTCAATAATATCTCTTTTTTTTTCATCAAAAAATTTATTTATTTTATTTGTATATACATTATACTCATCGTAATTGTTATTTATAGAATCTACATTTTTTTCTACTGTTTTTTCATTTTCTTTTTTATTAATAACATTATCTTTTATATTTCCATTATAACTGTATAATATATCTGCATTGTTTTTCATATAATTATTTTCGTTCGGATTTAATATTTCATCTACAGAGTAGAATTTATTCTCCGACTTTTCATTTTGTTCTTTTGATAATTCTAAAAATAATTTTATAACAATTAATTCTATAAAATTTTTTTTAAACAAATCATAATAATTTATATCTGTTATGCTAAAGTTTTCATAAAATATATTTTTATCCATTTTGTGAAAATCTTCATTAGAAAAATTGTCAATTTTGAAAAATTGGAAACATTTTTTTATCCATTTATTAAAAAAGCTTCTCTTTCTGCAATTTTTTTTAAAATAATAATATATTCTTTTCATACTTAATACATACATTTTTAAGATTTCAATATCCATATTGCATAAATCTAGAAAGCAAAAAACCGCACATAATATATTATTGTTATTAAAATAAAAAATGCTTAACTTTATACACAAACTATTTATTTCTTTTTTCAAATTTTCTTCTAAATTCAAAGGTAAATTTATGTTATTATTAATTAAATAATTATTTAGTAATATCACATCATAATTATTAATATATAAATAATTTAATAAATTATTTGTTCTCTTTTTATGATAATAGATATGATTGATTATTAATATATGATAAGCTATTAAAGGTTGACAACAAATCAAAAAATATTTAATATTAAAATATTTTAAAAAATAAAAACGATTCTTATCTAAGATTTTGTTTTCTAAGTTTTCAGGATAATTATCATCTTCTTTTTTATTTTTTAAAAAATGTTCCTTATCTTCTATAACTTTTCTATCATCTACATTATTTATTATATTTTTTTCTACTTCTATATTCTTACTTTTTGATATATATTTTATATAACCATCTTCATTTTTGTATCTTCTTAATTCTATAAAAAATACTTTATAATTAAATATCATAGACAATATTTTATTTTCCTTTATGGAATTATTACAAAACATATAGAGAGTATCTTTTACTATTTTTTTTTTTAATTTATTTTTTTCATAATTAATTACACCTTCATCATTAAAAACGCCATGATATTTTCTTTCAAATATATTCTTAAAAATTGAAAATGGAGAAAAATATGTTTGGAAAAATGTTTGATCTACTGTTTTTTCTAACAATTTTTTTAAGGATAAATCGTTATTATACGTAAAAAAATCATATGAATAATCAAATTCCATGTGAGAATTATATATGTTTTTATAACATATTTCTTTATTTTTTGCAACTTTTTTTACTAAACTGTATTTATCTTTCTCCTTATTATTACCATTATCTTTATATATTTCTTTTATTAAATTTAGATTTTCAAAACAAAAATTATAACTATAATTCTTTGTAGAATAATTATATTTTTTTTTTTGCATATAATTTTCTTTATATTTTTTTAAATTTTCTATAGCTAATTTAAAGATATTTTTATTTTTTATTTTTTCTCTCTCTAATTTTCTTTTTATCTTTTTCTTTAAATATTTTTTATTAGAGAAATAAGCCTCATAAATGGAACGGCTAAAACATTTTGTTAATTTTTTAAAATAGTATATATTTATATACAAGGGGTTTTTGCATTTATTCTTTTTAAAATCAAATATATCTACATTGCTGAAAACAAATAAACAAAAAAATAGCTTTACATTTAAAAAACTTAAATCATATAGAGAAATATAATTTATATTATTTTTGTCTTTTTTTAAAAAAAAATCATATGTACTATCTTTTTCATTTATTATATTGTAATCTTTTTTTTTTTCCTCATATTTTAAACCTAAATTTTCCATTTTTTTCTCTTTCTGACATATTTTTGCATCATCTAAAATGTTAAATGAAGCTTTTTTTTTTAATTTATCTGTATCATTTTTTATTTCATTTACATTTTTATTTGATATAATTTCATCCTTTGATAAATTAAAATTTTTTTTATCTATACTTTCTGTTATATTATTTTCTATGTATTTTTTTAATTCTTGTACAAATATGACTGCACAGTTGTATAAAGACAATGATAACAAATTATTTGATAATTGAGAATAAATATAACATGGAATAAATAAATATAAATTTGCTGCATTATTAAAAATTTGAAATTTACTTTCATTTTTATAAAGTCTTTTTATTAAATAATTACAATCCTTCCTTTTACGAAATAAATGATTATTTTTTAATATAAAAAAATACATAGATGTGTAACTCTGATTAATTAAAAAATAATTCAAAATGTAGTTATGCAAATTATTTATTTTATTAGACATTATGTATTTTTTATTATATCCCAAAAGGTTATCCGAATTTCCAAAAGAAATATTTATATTGAATTTAGAATTAATATTTTTATATGATAAATAATTAAAACATAAGAAATTTCTACATAATTTGATCATCATATTATAATAAATATATTCATTTTTCTTTTTTTTTTTTCTTATATTTTTGGATACAAATATATAGTTGTCTTTTTTTTTCTTTATTTTAATGAAATATTTTTTATTTGATATTATATCTAATGGTTTTATTTTTAAATTCTCATAATTTAATTTTTTGATATTATTACCTGAACAAATATTCAAAATTTTTAATTTATATAAAAAATCAAATTTAAATAAAAATATTCCTTGTGACTCTAAAAAATATTCAATATAATCATAAATATATTCTGTTGATGTATTTTTTAAATTATTTTGAATATGACTTATTATTTTCAAAAAGTTCTTTTCATATATATTTAAAATATGTGTCTTATTTTCTTTTTTGTTGTGGTCTAATATAAAACCCATTTTTTCATAATTATCATTTTTATCAGTTAATGTAGAATTATATTTATTCTTTTTTTTTTTTATCTTTTTTATATTTTTCTTAATTTTAATTATTTTATAAAAATTAAATGTTGATGATCTATGAAGTGTTTTGAAAAAATTTTTGGTGAAATAATTTAGTGTTAATAAATGTATAAATAACGCTGATATGTTATTATTATCTATATAATATTCTAAAATATAAAGAAATAAATTGTAATTGTACGACTTTATATTAATAATTTTTGTTATTTCATAAAATAAATTTTTTACTATTATTTTCTTTTTTTTACTGTCTTCTAAATGTATATGTTTAAAAATTTGTTTTTTATTCAAAGTTTCTTTCCTTTCTTTAGTATATTTATTCCTCATCATTTTACCTTTACTATTTTTTTTTAAAAAAATGTAATCTGTATGTTCATTTTTATTCTTAATTAAAATATTCAAAGAATTTCTATTTATCTTCAAATTTTTTAAATCATTATCATGATCTTTTTTTTTTTCGTTTTCTTCTTCTCCTTTTCCTTTATATTCATTCTTTAGTTTTTTTTTTTTTATAATAATACTCTTTAATTTTTTATTAACAAAATATTTCATTAAAAAAAATAAATAATTCATTCCTTTATTTTCTAATACAATTCTTATCATGATACTTTTATTAATTGTCTTTATCATATGTAAAGAACAACATAAATATTTGTTATTAGAAATTTCACATTGTATTAGATTATAATTACAAGTATTTTCATTTTTAGTTTTTATATTTTTAAATTGTACTTGATTTTCTTTCCTGTCTGCATTCAATATATTATTATATTTATTTATTGAATTTTGCAAATTATATATTTCATTATCTGTTTTATTTTGACTTACCCTTTTAAAAATAAATGTATTCTTTATATAGGAATTGTTAGAACTTTTCTCATTATAATTGCATTTATCTTTATATGCAAAATCTGAAAGATTTTCAATAATTTGATTATTATGCAAAACAAAATCATCTATAGCATCCACATTGCTATAATTATAATCTACATTAAAATTATTTGTTTGATTCTTATTTGTTTCTATTTTTTCTTTTTCTTTTTTTTTTTTTGAGCAGCAAAGATAGCAATAACATTCATTATCATAATTGTTAATATTATAGTATCCTTTATATTTTTTTAGATTTAATTTATTCAAATTATTTTTTATTCTTATTTTATTTTTTTCTTTAATTATATTACTATTAAATTTATTGTAACTAACGAACCATATATCATCCACTTCTTCTCCCTTCAATTTCAACCACTGTTTTGCCATATTCAATGTTATTATATTTTTATTATTTCTTTTGTTTGTAAAATAGCAGTTGGTAAATTTGTTAAAATAATTTCTATCATAATTTATATTATGAAAGTTTGATGCATTATTAGGTTTATTTATTTTTTTTATAATATTTATTTTATTCTCATTTTTCTTTATAATTTCCTTTTTTACTATTTCTGAACTTTCTTTATTTTTTTTTTTTTGTATTTTTTTAACTTCATTTATATCATTATTCATGCTTTTTCTATTTTCCACAAAATTATTTTTTTGGTTACTCATTTTCTCTATGTTTTTTATATATTCATCATTTATTTGAGGTATATGAATTTTTATATATTCATATAAATTAAAATAAGAGTCATCTCTTAAAAAATAAATCTCTCTTTTGTTAATCTGGTATAACAGACTATTATCAATAAACATTTTATTATCAATAAACTTTTTATTATCAATATTATTAATTTTTTTTTTTATTCTATTCATTTTTCTAATTATTCCAACATTGTTGCGTAATATTTTTTGTTTTATTTTAATATAACCATAATTTTTCATTATCACTAGTTTCATTCTTTTTATACTTTTAATATTCATTTTCTTTAAAAATATTTCTTTTAATTTAATTTTAATTCTACTTAATTTATTTTTATCTATTTTATTTCTTTCCTTATTATCAACTTTATAAAAACAAAAGAAATTCTGAATTAGGAATGCAGCAAAAACATAAGATGTATGATTAAAATAATTAATGAAATTAAAGTTATCAGAAGCTTCACTATATATATTTAGATAATCAAATATGTTCAATATATTTTTCTCCTTATATATCATATCATACACATAATTGTATTCATTCAAGTATAATTTTCTTTTTAATAAATTTAAAAATGTTTCATTCTGATATAAATTAAAATAATTTTTATTTAAAATATAATCTGTATAAGAACTATTATGTTCACTATTATATGAACTATTTTTATAAAAAATTTCCAAAATTGCAATAAATTTAATAGATTTTTTATCTTTTTCTTTAAGTTTGTAATTGTTCTTCAGTAAAAAGAGCAACAGATTATTTCTAATGTATTTTTTTAAAGTATTAAATGCAATCATTTTAAAAAATTTTAAAACATCAATACACAATATTTTTACTATATATATACATATATTTAAATAATTATCTATATTATTACAAAGTAATCTATATATAATACCTCCAAAATAGTTTATTAATATGTTGTATGGTTTTAAATGAATATATGAAAAAGGAATTTTTAAATTTTTTATTAAAATTTTTAATATATTTTCTTTAAAATAGTAATTATTTTTATTTTTATTTTTTATAATTAATTTATAAATTAACAAAATAATATTAAATAAATTACTTTTTAAAGCATTTTTCACATCAGAATGAAAACTATATATACTATTTATACTTTTTATATTTATTTCATTTTCTAATTTTATAAATTTTCTATCTAAATTATCATACATTTTGTAAATTTCTAAAACTATATTTTTTAATTCATACTTACAATTGTTAATTTTATTGTTGTCATTATTATTACTATTGTTCATTCTCTCATTGAAATAATAGTAGTCATCATTATTTCTTATATTTTTAATATTGGAAAATTTATAATTATTTCTTGTATTATTATCATTGTTAATCAAATTCTTACACACACTTTCATTTCTGTAAATAGTCTTATTATTTTTGATATCATTAAATAAGTAATTAATTAATGTATTATAATTATATTTTTTTTCATCTTTAATGTTTGAAGATTGATTCTTATTTACAATATCACTAATCATTTTATTAAAAAATAAATTATATTCTAATTTTTTTTTCTTTTTCTTTTTTTTCATATCTATATTTTCATGATTCATACATCTATATTTGTCTGTATTAATTTTAATGTTATTGTTGCAATTCAGAGAAATATACTTATCTAATTTTTTAATACAAATATTTTTCCTAATTAAAAAAAAATTATATAATATACAATAATTAAAATATAAAAAAATAAAATTAAAAAAAAATTCATATTTTTTTGAATATATATAATAAATAATTGTACTCAGATCATTACTATTAACTAGATTGTAAATAATAGTATTAAAATCATTTTCATCTTTAATTAAACAATTTGAATTAACTATTTCCTTATGATAAACATTTTTTATTGGAAAATAAGGAAATTTCTTTTTATTTTTACTAACAACTATATAACAATAGCATAAAAGAAAAAAAAAATCATCATGACTCCTTATACTATTTATATTCCAATTATAATTATTTGTGTTAATTTTTTTATGAATTGTAACACTTTTTTTTTCATTTTTTTCATTTATATTGACTTTATTTTTTATTATCGAAGTCTTATCATTTACCTTATCTTTTAATGTATAATCTAAATTTTGATATGAACTTACAAAATTTTTAATATTTAATAACTTTTTTTCATGATAATTATTATTTTTTATAAATTCATCATACTTTAAAGTGCTTTCATATTTATTTTTGATTATTTGATTTTTATCTAAATTTTTTTCATTATTATAATAAAAGTTATTATTAACATTAAAAAACATTTTACTTATTGGATCATCTTTAGATGACTTAATATATAGTATTTGTGATATAATGTCAAAAAAATTATATGCATTGAGATAAATAGAATTAAAAAAGTTTAATTCATTTTTCGAATCTTTTGTAAAAAGAAGGCATTCCTCATTCTCCGAAATATCATTCCTACTTCCATTTATTTTTATTTTTTTTTTAATTTTTGTTGTGTAATTATTTAACAACACATTCATTAATATTTTAACAAAATAGATATATTTATTCATTTCTATATATATTTTATCATTTCTTTTATTTTTTCTTTTTATTCCCTTTTTTCTCATTTTAATAAAATGATCTATAAATGAAATAATGAAGTGTATAGTTATTGAGCAAATCTCAATACTATACTTTTTATTTAAAAATAAATTGTAATTTTCATGAAAACAAATTTTCTCAAAATAATAAATTTCATATTTTTTCAAATAATTATCATTTATATTGTTACAACCACGAATTATTCTCCTTTCATTTATACTTGTTACATTTTTATTACTTAAAAATACTTTAGTTTTTCTATTACCAACTGATAAGTGATTCATTTTCATATTTCTGTTTTTTAAATCATTAATACATTTGCATTTTATAACACTTCCATGGTTATTATTTAATTTATTTTTATCTAAATATATTTTTTCATAAATAAGATTAAAATTGTTATTAACTAAATTCTCCTTTTTTAATACAGTATTCTGAGTGAATTTTTCTTTATTATTTATATCACCACCATTAATTAAATAAGATTTCCTTTCTTTTTTTTTAATATTTAATATATTCATTTTTAATGTTTTTTTTTTGTTATTATTTACATTATGAAATTCACTTTCCTTTAATTTCCTTTCATCTTTATTAAAAACTTCTTGCTTATGAGAACTTTCTAATTCATTACTGTTTTGAGAACAGAGGTATTTTTTTCCAATGATATCTACAATATCGGATATTTTTTTTAATGTTATTTTCATATAAATTGCTATAAATTCTTTTTTCTCCTTGATTTCTTTCTTATGTTTGCGTATCTCCTTCTTATTTCGTTTTTTTAAAACATGACTAATGAATGAAAAGTAATTAATAAAATAAAAATAAATTAATTTTATATTAAAATTATTTATGATATAATGGAATAATATTCTACATAATAATAAAGTTTCTTTAAATTTTAGTATTTTTAAGCATTTTTTAATTAATGTTATATCTTTATTTAGAAGACTGTTGTAAATCATTATAAAATAGCAGTAACTTTTTTTTAAACTATTTGTTTTAAGAATTTTTTCAACTACTGTCTTTTTGTTATATGTACTAATATCTATTAATGTATTTATGTAATTTTTAAATATAAGTTTACACAAAGTTTTATCAACATTAAAAATGGGATGATATTTAATATTTACATAGAAATACTTATAATTTCTTAAAATAAATAAAAACAGTATTTTTTCTTCTTTTTTCAAAACAATCAAATAGCTTCTGTTCTTACATGATAAAAAAATCTCTATCATAAAATATTCAGGACAAACATAAATTTTTATAGTTCGTAATTTTTTGTTATATAAGAAATTTTTATAATTTTTATTTGTGTTTTTATATTTCAGACAGTTTCTAGAGGCATCTTTACATTTTTTTATTATAAAAAATTTTTTTACATTAAAAAAGTAATTATAAACATTAATATGTTGTATGTATTGTGGTAGCTTACTGTTCAAATCGTTTACTGATTTTTCTAAATCGAAATTAATTAGATCATAAAAATTTGTATTAACATTTATACTATTCAATGCTTTTTCAAAATAACAATTTTTGTAATTATTATTTATAAAAAAAGCATTATCATTTAAATATTTCTTATTATTTGTTTTATTTAATAAATCTTCTTTATTATTATAATTATATTCATTATTATTACATTTTTTGATAAAATTTAAATCATTTTTATTTATTTGTTTAATTCTTTCTTGAACAACATTTTTGTAAATTTCATCATTTTGAGTTAAGTTAAACTTGTCTTCAAAATAATATATAGACCTTTTGTAATAAAATTCTTTTGATTTATTTCTACTTTTTTCATATTCTTCGTATTCGTAAAAATTATTGATATCTTTATTTTCTTGGTACTTTCGATCTAAATTATTGTAATATTGTGAAAAATCAGTATAATAATCGTATAATTCTTTTTTTTTGTAAAAGTATAAAATATAATAACTTTTTCTACAAATTGAATCTTTTTCATTTAATTCTTTACAGTTACTTATTTGATAAAAATTTTCTTTATTCATTTTTTCTTTTATTTCTTTAATTATATAAATATATTTTGAACTTTCTAATTTTTTGTAATTCTTCATGCTAATGTTGAAATCCTGGTCTTCTTTCAGATCTTTTTTTATGTATGCTTTTATTCCTTTTAATTTAAAATAATTAGGAAAATAAGATTCAAAATTGAATTTCACATTATATTTATTTGTTTGTAATATAGTTAAATTCTCTTTTTTTAAGTTTTCTTTTGGATTATTTTCGATACATTTTTTGGCTTCTAGGTAATAATATGATTCCTCTTTTGTATTTAATGAATGCATTTCAACATTTTTTATTTTTTTTTTTGCCAATATTGCTTTACTTTTATTTCTTGTCTTTATAAAATTAAAATTGCAATATCTAAAGAAAAACAAGGAATTTTGTTAAAAATGCAATTAAAGGGATATTTTCAGAAAGTTATATTTTTATTTTACAATATTATATTATTATAGGTGTCAGCTTTTTTGTTTTTGTTAGGCTTTTTTTTTTTTATATAATTTTACAAAATTTTTATCTCTTATTAATTATTACATATTTAAATTAAGGAACCAAAATTGATTATGTATATCAAACAATAATATAACTGATAGATCATGACTAACTTCAAAATCAACGAAAAAAGTAGATACTAAAAAAAAAAAAAAAAAAAAAAATGTAATAAAAAATACGATTTTTATGTTCATATAATTACTTAAAAAAGAGAAAAAAATAAATTACCATGTTTGTTTATATTAATTGCCAAATAAGGTGTATCTCCCTTAAAAATTAGCAAAAATTGTTGGGGTGTCAAGGTTAAAAGAAATAAAAAATTTTTTCTACATAAGATTTAAAAAAATTTATTTTAATTATATTCCCTTAGTTATTTTTATTATACATTTATTAATACTTTTTTATTTTTACTTGCAAATACATTTTTGGAAATAAATATAATTATCAATATTTATAAAAATATTTTGTAAAGCAAATATATTTTTTACTCTTAAGCTATTATATGTTAGTGAAAGTAACAAATAAGGAAATTAATATATAAATGAAAAAAAAAAATAAAAATAAATATATTTTATTAAAAATTTGAAAATAAATGGATAAGTGATATAAAATGAATGAATTAGACAATTTAATGTTTTTACCATTGTCCGTATGTAACAAATTTTAAACACACTATGTCATTTAATAAAATATAAAAGGAACTGTAAGAAGTAAATACAGTTATATATTCATTTCATTTTATTTAAATAAAAGATAATTATATATATATATATATATATATATATATATATATATATATATATATATATATATATATATGTTTCTTTCTATATTTTACATAAATAAATTTTATTATTATTATTTTTTTTTTTTTTATTTATAGCTTACTCTTCCCTATTTGATATTATTTTTACAAATTTTTTATTGAATGATTCTAATATAGATAGATTTTTCTATTTATTAAAAAAAAAAAAAATAATTAAAATATTATAATTTTCTTTTTTTTTAAATCTTCTTATATATATTGTTCTTACATTTAAAGAGATAGCAAAATGAAATAATTTATCAATAGTTATATAAAAATTATGTAACTTATTTTTTTCATTTAAATTTCCACATATCTTTTTAGTAATACCAAAATTTAATAGATTATTTTGTATTCTAAAATTAACAAATATATGTATAATATTTTATTTATTTAAATAAAAATTTAAGTTTAAAAATTTATTATTTTAATTTAAACATATATATATATATATATATTTTATACATCATTTCATGGTTTTCTATACGTGGATTTATTCTATTAATATGTATAAAATTATAGAAATTCAATTGATTATCTTGTTGTGAAATCTAATAAAAGGAAATAATAAAAAAAAAAAAATATATAAGAAATAAACACTTCAAAATATTATACTTTAATAATTTTTAATTTTAACCAGAATAGGAATTTGATGTTTTAATTTATTCTTTTTTACAAAAATGTCAATGTAGCTATATATCCAAAAACAGTTTATTGTATTATTATTTAATAAACAATCATTACTATAATTATTTAAAAAATTAAAATATAATTTAAAGCTTTTTTCTTCTTCATAATTGTTCTTAAAGTACAATAAAGCTATAATATTGTTATTTTCATTTGGAATAATTGTATATATTTTATCTTTATTATTCCTTTTTCTAGTTTTAAATAATTTTAAACAAATTAAATTTTCCATTTTTTAATTATCGTTTTAGGGTGAACATGAAAAAATTGAAATCCCTTTCTTATATAATATTTTTATTATTTAATACTTTAACATTCATTTTTTATTTATGGAAAATTATAATTACACATTTTTAATTTAAACTTTTAGATGATTATTTTAGATTTTAGAATTTTCTTATATATATATATATATATGGTAGTATATTATTATTTTGTAAACATAAAAATTCTCTTGAATTTTTTGTTTATATGTAAAATTTTCTGATTTATTTACTTATGAGAAATACACTTGAAAAAAAATAAAATTTTAATTAAAAGTTTTTCAAAATTTTATATAATTCTGACACGTATTTATAAGTTTCAAAAAAGTGTCCAAATTAAAATTAAAAAAGACTTTTTCAATTATCCATTCTTTAATCCTCTCAATAATGATTCTAATCAACATAAAAATTATAAGAAATTTAATTTTTTGATTCTTTAATTTTTTTTCTTTTTTCAGTTACATAAATTTAATTAATAAATTTGAAATATTCTCATTGTCTTTTATTTCTTGTTATTACATTTATATAACCTCTTTTCAGATATTTTAGATAAAAGTGAAACATGCAAATAATAAACACAAATGTATATTTTTATTTTACTTAAATAAAAACTTTTTTATATTGTAAATATAATTTTATTTACTACATGAAAAACATTAAAATATGAGAGAATAAATATGTGTGAAAGTGCTACATAATTTTAATTTTAAAAAAATTGCTTTATAAAATAGCACTATCTTAATATTTTAGTCTTTTATTTTCTATCCTTTGTTAAATAGATAATAATTTATTGGTTATTTTTATTTTATTATTTAAATTTAGTAATTAAAAATTCTTTTTTAAAATATTTCAAAAGAATGTGCAACTTTATTTTTAATCTTTTTTTTTTTTTCTTTTTCATTTCTTCATTATGTTTATCTTTTTTTTAATTTTTGTCAAATGCATGTGACGTTCTTTTGTGTATTTTGAGAATAATTTTTTATTTCTTAAAAAAAAATTGAAATTTTTTACTAAGATTAACTTATAATCACGAAATACACGAAAAAAAAAAAAGAAAAAAGGGAAAATTGAGCTATTCTTATATAGTTAATATTGGATATAAAATGCTTCTGGTAAAATATTTGTAAAGACATATTTTTTGTTTAATTATATCACTTACATTATAAAAAATTACATTATTCATTATATTTTTAAGTCTTTTTTTTTTTTTTTTCATTTTCTAATTAGAAGAATGTTAATATGAACTAGAAACTTTTTTTTTAAATAAATCCAATTAGAAGAAAAAAGTTTAGAATATATTATTATCATATATTTTTATTATAAGCATAGAGAATTCTTAAAAAATATTTTAATTTTTTAAATAATAAATTATTTATTCTTTTTAATAAAATTTTCGTTGTGTGAAAAAAATTATATATATTATTTTACATTTTCATTTCTATTAAATTAATTAATAAATATATTAAAAAATGTTTTATAGTTAGAATAATAGAAGTATTTTATATTCTTTACAGCGGACGTTTTTTTTTATTGTTAAATTGTTCATTCCTTTTTTATCTTAATGAATTTATATTAAAAAAAATATATATAATTTCTCTAAGAATAATTATTATCATTTTAAAAAATTATATATATATATATATATATACATGTATAAAAAATAAAAAAATAAATATCATATAAAAAAAAAATTAAATAAAAAAAAAAAAAAAAAAAAAAAAAAAAAAAAAAAAAAAAAAAAAGAAAAGCTGAAAATAATAAAATATTAAATTCTATTATATTTTAAAGACAAAAGAATTTTTTAAAAAAATTTAATTAATAATATTATTTTAAAATTTTATCTTTTTTTTAATAAAATAAAGTATGGTAATTATTTAGTAATACTTTTTATTATATTATTTTAAAAGCATTATATTGTATATGATTAATTATTTAAAGTAGAAATATAGTAATATTTAAAATGACTGAAGTTCAACACCAAAAAACAGAAGAACTCACACCTTGGGTATGAATAAAATTTTTAGTTTAAGTTATTTGAGAAAAAAATTTATTATAATTCTTTTTTTTTTTTATATTAATACTACTTTAAAGAATTATATATATTCATTGGTATTATTTATTTATTATTTTTCTTTTTTTATGTTTTTTATTTTTGAATTATTTTTTAATTTTTACTTGGAAAATAAAATGAATCTATTAATTATTTTATCTGAGTATTCCAACATTGAAAAATATTCATATAGAAAGAAAAAAAAAAAAAAAAAATGATTTTGAAATACAAATATAATTGAGATATTAGTATATTTTAAAATTTATTTTATATATATTTTAAACTTTTATTGTAATAGTTTTTAATATTTTTTTTTCCTTTTAAAAATCTTGACAAAAAATATATGTAAATAATATCTATTTATATATAAACAGTATTCATAATATTGTTAAATTATAAAAGTTGTTTTATCTTTTTTTTTTTTTTATTTATTTATTGTATATATAAATATATTATGTTTTTAATTTTTAATAAGATATAAAATTAAGACATAGAAGAAAAATTTCATATCGTTGAGTTTATTAATTTTTTAATTTATTTTATTTTATACTTTTTTTTTTTTTTATTCCTTGTCTATATATATGGGATATATTTATTTATCTATATATTAACTAAAAATTTATTTTTGTTAAATTTATTATGTTCTTATTAAAACATTTTTACAAGTATCATGTATTTTATATAATATTTGCACACATTTTTTTTTTTTTTTTTTTTATTTAATCAGGTAGAAAAATATAGACCAAATGTATTAAGTGATATAATTTCACATGAACAGGTAATATCAACAATAAAAAAGTTTGTTCAAAAAGGAGAGCTACCTCATTTACTTTTACATGGACCACCAGGAACAGGAAAAACGTCAACTATTTTAGCTGTGTGCAAAGAGTTATATGGAGATTCAAGAAGTTCTTTTGTTTTAGAGTTAAATGCTTCTGATGATAGAGGTATAAATGTTATTCGAGATCAAATAAAGACATTTGCAGAATCAAAAAATCATTATAATACTTGTGAAAAAACGACATTAAAATTAATTATTTTAGATGAAGCTGACCATATGACCTTTCCAGCTCAAAATGCAATGAGAAGAATTATGGAAAACTATGCTAAAAATGTTCGTTTTTGTTTATTATGTAATTATGTAAATAAAATAACTCCTGCTATTCAATCAAGATGTACTGCATTTCGATTTTCTCCTTTGAAAAAGGAATATATGATGAACAAAGCTTTAGATATTGCTAAATCAGAAAATGTTAATGTTACAAAAGAAGGATTAGAAAGTCTTATTCGTGTTGGACATGGAGATATGAGAAGAATTTTAAATTGCTTACAAGTAGTATCATTAAGTCATAAAAATTTAACAATTGATGAAAATATTATTTTATCAACTTTAGATATTCCATTACCTAATGAAATAAAGCAAATTTTAGAACATTTTATGAAGAATACTATAAAGGAATCTTATGAATTTGTTAGTGAATTACAATACAATAAAGGTTATTCAATAAAAGATATTATGAAATGTTTATATGATATGGTATTAACTTATGATTTCCCAGATTCTGCCTTTTGTCTTTTGCTTAAAAATTTTGGAGAAATTGAAGAAAGGTGTTCTTCTGGAGCTAATGAACAGATAACATTATCCGCTTTGATAAGTTCTTTTGTTGAATTTAGAGAGGAACTTTTTAAATTGAAATATGATATAAAAAATATATAAAATAATAAAAAAAAATTTCTTTGTATATGTAGGAAACGCAAATAATATATTTATTTATATTTATTTATTTCTAAGAATTATATTTTTTTATAAAGAGAAATAACAAATTATAATAAAAAAGGATAATTATAATAAAATATCATAATTAAATTATAATAAATGCCTACATAAGTTATTTTTAATAATAAATTTCTAATATTCTGTTTAAAAAAAAAATATTTTTACTATTTCAAAATTATTTTTCTTAAGTTATACAAAAAAAAAAAAAAAAAAAAAAAGAAAAATATATTTGGATAAATATAAAATAGAAATTACAAATTAATGTATATAATCAAGAACAATTTTTTAATATGTAGATTTTTATGTTTTATTCTATTACTTAAATTTAAATGAATGATTTTTACTTTATTATATACTATTTTATTAAAATTTCACATATCTATTATTCTAAGTTGAATTTGTTAAATTTAATTTATAATAAATCTCTTTAATTTTATGTTAATAATTTTATTTTAAATACATATTTAACTGATGAACTTTTGAATAACTTCATATTTTTTACTTATTATCTTTTTTTTAATTTTTAATAATAATTTTTATCAAAAAAATAAAGGTCTTTACATTTAATTTACTTTTTTATTTGCTAATAGATTTTCTAATTTGTATATTTATTTTTTTATTTTATATAGTTTATTTTTTTCTTTTTCTTTTTCTTATTCTTTTTTTTTTTCATTTTTTATGATTTCAAGTGTATTTTTACATTCAAAATGTTACAACATAAAAATAGTAATAGACACAAAATTTTACTTTTTAAATAAGTTTAGTTGTATTTTTAAAATTTAACTTATACCTCCTATTTTTTATATTATCAAATTATCATAAAGTGAAAATTACCTTCTTCAGGTCAATAATTAAAATGTTTTATACTTTCTATTTGTATTATTCCTTGATGTTTAAATTATTTGAAAAAAAAAAAAAAAAAAATTGTTAAAATGTATATATAAATATATATTAAAGTAAATATGTATACATTTTTTTATATAAATCATTTTTAAATTATATATTAAATGGTATTTTTCTTCATATGTTTCTACTTATTTTAATTTAAAATATATAAGAATATTTTATTTTCATTAAAAGACACATTTATTTATAATAAAAATTGAATATCATTATTTTTTTTTTTTTTTATATATATATATATTTTTTATAAATATCACATCTAAAGTAACTGCAAAATAGATGGACATTTTTATTTAATATATATAACACATCTAATAAATGTGTCCTTATTAAAGGATTTGTAGAATTTTTAAAGTTATACAAATTTTAGATTTTTCTATTTTTTTTCATTGTTAATTTAATAAATAATTTTAAAAGAAATTCCTACCTTTATTTTTTACTAAAAGCATAAAAAAATAATAAGTAAAAACATATAAGAATATATACATTTAATAATATAAACGAAAATATATTATTTCTTTCTTCTTTTCCTTTAGGCTTTTTTATTATTATTATTTAAATGTATAAATTAAAACTATAAATATTTTTATATATTTTCCTTAGTATCTCAAAATTATAAGAAATATTAAAAATTACATATAAAGAAATATTTTTACATATTCTAATATTTTTTGTTTTTATCAAGTATGTCCCTTTTTTGTTCTCACTTTTTTTATTCATATAAATTACATTATAAAAAAAAAAAAAAAAAAAGTTTAAAGAGTAGTTAAAAAAATTAAATGTATTTTTTAATAGCATATATATTTATTAAAAATTCATAATGTTTTGTATTTCATTAAATCTTAAAGTTCTCAAAAAAAGTAAGACAATTTTATTTAACAAAAAAATAGGAAATATTTTTAAACAATGTATGAGGTATATTTTTTTTTATTATTTTTTAAATACTTTATTTTATTTTTTTTGAATTCATATATTGATTTTAATAATTTACAATTCTGTAAATTTAATTACTTCTATTATTAATATTCATCTTTTTTATTTTTAATTTTTTTTCTTAATTTTCACTATCTTTAACTTAGTTTACATCAATTAATGAAAAAATGTGTTGATAACAATTAAACAGTATTTTTTTCTTTCTTTGTGAAATCAAAAATTATAGCTATAAAATTACATAGTTGGATAATTAAAATAAGAAAAAAACATCCTTTTATTAAATTATTAAAATATTTTTAATGTGTTACAAATATTTTATTTCCAATATAAAAAATTAAAAAGCATTTATCAATGAATAATTTTTTTTTTTTTTATTAAAACTTCTTATAAAATTATGAACAGTAAATAAAAATTATTCTAAAAGAAACAAAAAGTAAATGTTAAATAGTTCATTAAAAAAAGAATGGCTATGTAATTTATAGGACAAAAGCACTTATACTTGTTATATAATAAAAAATAAATCTTTTAAAAATTATAAAATTAGATATAATTTTAATATAGTTAATTATTATATAAATAGTAACTATAATAATAATAGAATTTTTAATTGTAGTATAATTAAAAATTATTATTTTTCCAAATGTAATTTCTTTAAAAATGTTTTTAGTCATTAACAGGGGTTATACATATTACATACAATGAAATAACACAACAATGTTATTAAAAACATAAAACAAAAAAGGATTTAAATATAGAATAAATAATGATATTTGTTTTTGAAATATATTAAAATGATTTCATATAGCTTAATTACTCAACTCTTATGATGAATGATATAAATAATATTTTTTTTTTTTTTTTTTTTTAATTATAAAAATCTACAAAATAATTTATTTATTTTTTTTTTTTTTTTATTATTAAATTTTACATTTTTCTTAAAATTTTTATTGGTATTATTAATTTATAACTTTTAAAACTTCATATATCCTTATATGAAAAAGATTTAGTTAGTTTCTTCAAAATTATTTATATATTTTGTCTTTTTTTCTACTATTATTTTTGTTAAAATTTTTATGTATTTATATTTTCTGCTATTTTTAAATAAATAATTATTTATCCTTTAATAATTCTTCTGTCTAAAATATTGAAATATATTTAATAAAAATGACATAATATTTACTAACACAAACATATATATATATGTAAATATTTAATTTTGCATATTCTTTAAAATACTTATATATGTGATTGTGTTCTATATGATAAAATGTTCTTAAATAAATAAAAATAAAAAATGAATAAAAAGTAGAAAAGTANTTTCTCTCTTTTTTTTTTTTTTCTTTTTTCTTTTTTCATTTCTTTTTTTTTTTT